CACACACACACACACACACACACACACACACAGACAGAGGGAAAAAAAATATTGCAAGTGGCCCTTGTGGCAGAATCCATCGTAGCATCAACATTATTTAGTGCATAAATATCTAAATAATAGCAGTTCATTTCAGTTAAGATCCAAGTTTAATTAATGGATTTGTATTCAGGTGATTGAAGACCAGAGTAACTGAGTAAGGCTTGAGTGCAGCTGTCACGCTTCCTTTAAAAACATTGACAGCTTTGTTAGCGGCTTTAACCAAGGGCCAGTTGCTCTCCCACAGAGGGATGCGAAAAAACATAAATAAATAAAAATCTACAAAACATCAAGAATGATTAAAGAACAGACCTAAACTCTGACAATATTGATTACTCTTACATCTACTCTTTCACACCTTTCCACTGAGTTGCATATTAAGGGTCACTTTTTCACAATGGTCATTAATACCTACTGTAGCTACATACTATACAGCTGTATGTGAGAGAAAGAGAATCATCCCCAGAGGAGATCGAGAGATTGGTCAACAGTGCCACTCGAACACCTTAAAGACACTTGACACGAAAAAAGATTCACTCCACAAGACTGCCACAGCAATAAGGACGCCAACATTGACACTGGGCTATGTCGAGAGTCAGGTAATATATATTTTTATCCCACAGTTAACCAGTCAATGCAGATAGCTAAGCATGTTGACAAAGTGAGGCTAGGATACGGACAGTATTACCAGCACTCAGATCTCAGGCAGTTTCACTGAGGCGTATCGTCTGCGAGCGGCTGCAGATTAACACCTCAGCCGACACTTTAAGACGTTCTGACCAGCAGGAGAGGGAGATCTGGATGAAGTGCATTCTGTTAATGTCATTAAACACCTACTTTCACCTTGAGGTGTAGACCTGCTTCAGTGTTAAATTCCTTTTAGAGGACCAGCAGAGTGATGCAACACTTGGCACAGAAGGAGCTCTCGCTGGCAGCTGTTGATTGTAATTCTACATAGTCGCACTGTGCCTCTTTCTGAGTGTGGATTGAAGCCCTTTATGACATGCTTATTAGAAAAAAAGGAGGAAAAAAAAAAAACAGAAAAAGAACAGAGCTGCCATCCCCGCCTTCTTGCCTCTCATCTAGAATTGTTTGTTCATTTTAAGTGACCTGTTTTGTCCTGAGCAAAACAAGCAGGAGCTTAGTGCATACAAACCTTCAGCCAAACCCTTCTGCTTTTAATCAGACAATCTGAAGACCAGTGGGTAGATTTAGAAGAGTGATGCTATACCTCTTTGAGGTTAACCTTGCAGCAAAATCTTATTTTTACTAGCGTGACAAGGTGCAAGGTTTGTCAACAACATTTGCAGGATAACCGCACGCCCACAGGTAAATTCTAAAAGATAGAGTTTAAGGGCACTCTATCCCTGCAATGTAATTTACACCAGTGATGTTGCTGGAATAATAATAATAATAAAATCCTTTACTTCCCGGTTACAGAGGATGTTTTTAGAGGGCATCCAGCACTAGATGCAACCATTATTCAGTTATCACTTTATGCTTCAAAAAGTCTTTTGACTTTATGTTCACTAATGCCATTTCATCAAATTCTGTCATTCGTGGCTCAATGTGGTAAACTCGTAATGACAATATGATTTGTAACTAACACCAAGGAAGCGGAGGATATCACAGATGCCAATACGCACAAAGACAATTGACCTTGTTTACACCATCTAGTTTAGCTCTACAGATTTGTTTTAAATAGCACAGCATTGACATCTATACAGTGAACGACACTGCCAACTTGTCACTTACACATCACATCACGCGCTACCCCACAGTACGCGCCTAGTCACTAGAAAAAGCTATCAGACTTTAATAGTAAGCCACTTTCGGTACAATTGCAAAAAAGATGTCACAGGATTTTTTTTTTTTTTACGTTTTCTTTTTCTGTATTTCTATAAACAATGGAAGGTAATCTACCTAGTAATAAAAACCAAGAAGTCAACTTTAGACAAAGTTTTCTACACCTTAACAATTCAAACAGTAAAG